GCCCTTTGCCTCCCAGAGGTGGTGCTTTAGGAAAGCCCCTCCAGCCTGGGAAGGAGCTTTTGGCTCTGGACACATTCCCAGTCCCCAGCAGCAGCAGGACCTGTGCTGTTCCCAGCAGGTGAGGCAGAGGTGCCTTTCCTTCCTCCCTTCCCTGCTGCACTTTGGCTTTTTGAGGGGTCTCTGGGGGAGAAATTGTCATTGCAGGGCAGAATTAGCCCTGGTCCCACTATAAGCAGGAGGAATCATTTTATCCTTGATTTTGCATACACATTTTGTGTTTTCTCTCTGTTGCTGACACCGTGTGGTGAAGCAGCAGCTCCCAACCTTGTCAGTGCTGCTCCCTGGAATGGATTTTATTTGTAACACCAGGAATTCCCTGCTGGAATCCCAGCACAGCCCCCAGATCAATGTGCAGTTTAAGGTCTTACACCCTGACCAGGACAATTTCCTGTCTCTAGGCATGGAAAATGGGGAAAAACTCAGACTGGAGTGGAGCCAGGATCCAGAATGGAGGAGTGAGGCGGCGTGCTCAGCCCAGGCTGGAGTTGGCACAGGGGCTGTTCCCCGTTGGATGATCCCCATGTGGAACAGATCCTTCTCTTCCTTTGTCCAAAGTACAATGGGTAAGGATTCAGGAACCCCCAAAGTGGGGCCTGGAATGAAAATGGTTCTGTTAAAATTAGGCAAAGAATGCAGTAAGAAAAAATGGCATCCTTTTTATGTATGTAAGGAATAAAATGTTGACGAGGGGCACTTTTATTTGGTGTCACCTCTCATTTTTTATGGATAGAACCCATAGTGGGCAATCAGAACAGAAGTAGGAAAGCCAGGAGCCTTTGACTTCCAGAGTGGACCTAATTTCCATTCTCTCTCTCTTTCAGGACAGGAAAAACCACTTAACTCATCCCATCTCTGCCCAAAGCTTTGGTGTTTGAGCAGCCAAACCCGACGGGCTCCAGTCTGCACTGGAGGGCCCCTGGTCCTGCCCGTGGTGTGGGGTGAGTCCCCAGCTGTCCCCAGAGGGATCTGTCCTGGTTTCAGGCTGTCCTTGCCTGGTCCCTGCAGTCCCCAAGGCTGAGACACAGAGAGCCCTGTCCCAAGGGGCCTTTGGCTCCTGGTCAGGAATGTGGTGGCAAACCCCAGGGCAGGGGAGCTGAGAGGGGCAGTGCCTGAGGCTGCTGCAGGCAGGGCAGTGTTTACCCTGGGGCTGGCCCCACAGCTGAGTTCCAGCAGGATCAGGGCACAGATGCTGCACTTGGTGTACCCAGGGAGTTTCTGTCCCCCCGGAGATTTCCTGTGGCATGTGGCAGCACAGGGAGCAGAATGAAACCTGCAGCTCCCGTGGCCATTGCTGGCCTTTGTCCCTCTGTTGTGCCATCAGCCTGTGGGAATTTGCTGCTGTCACTGCCACTGCCACCCCAGCTGGGGGCTGTGTCCTCCTGGCAGCCCTTCCCAGCCCCAACAGGAGTTCCAGTGGTGCCTCTGTGCCCTGCTGGGAGCTTTGCTGGGAATGTGCCTCATCCCTGGGGGTATCCTTGTGTTCCAGAGCAGACAGACTCCAGAGCTTTTGGGCTTGTCAGCTGCAGAGGTTGATTGGAACAGTCCCTGAGAGGAAGAATGACAATGAGGTTTGTCCAAGTGGTGCTTTCAGAGCCCACTTGACAGTGTTTGCTTTGTGTTGGAGGTTGTTGTGCATTTGCACTGCAGGGAATGAATGTCCCCTTCCCAATTGAGTCCAGCAGATCCCAAAGGCTCTTACAGGAATATTTATCCTTTACTTCCCTCTCTGATAACTTAATCTGCCATTGAGCCATTCCTTGAGTTCTCCTGGAGAAAACCTCACAGCAGAGGAGTTTGCAGAGGAGCCCAGAGCTGTGTTTGGAGCAGAGAGAGCTGAGAGCTGCACCTGCCTGTGCTGCCCAGCCTGGCAACATCCACATGGAACAGCCTGGGCAGCTGGGATTAGATGGAGCAAAATCCCTTCATGGAAGAGGTTTTCCCCTGTGCAGATCAGGCATGGGGCAGGCAGTGAACTGTGGAAATCAGCTGATTTCCCTCAGAAAGCATCACTCCCATCAGCAGGAATGACAGGACCTGTGCCCACTGCTCAGGATTCACACAGCCAAAATCAAGGGCAAAGGTTGGTTTGGGTCTGAGAACTTGAAATAACTTTGAAAGAGACAAAATCACCTTTTTCTTCTTCCTTTATTTCTTTCAGATGCTGGAATTGCCTCTGGATGTGTGCTGAGTTCTCACTGCAGGGAACTGCCAGGCCTTAATGGTTGTGAGTTTGTGTTCTTCTCACAGGGGAATTAACAATTATTAATTATTAGTTACAGAAATGTTTTCTGAAACCTTCCCCCTTTGCTGGTAGATCTTCTCTCTGCCTTTGAATTCACAGCTGTTCCCTGCTGTCATTTGCCTGCTTGAATTCCTTGCAGCTCCTAACTGGAAAAAACTGGGATAACTCAGAGGGGACAGAGGTGACATTTTTAGCTGAAAACCTGGGGCAGTTGAGAGGGGACACTGAACTGTTTATGTAGGAAAATGTGAGGGGATGTCGAGGGGAGCAAGGTGGTATTTTTGAGGGAAAAGCTGAGGTGATGTTTGGGGGAGAGAATCAGATTTGTGGAGTAGAAAAGAGTTAATATTGTACAGGAAGGAAAATTTTGGGGGTAAAACTCAATGTAATCTGTAGGGGACAATTAATATATTGGAGTAAAAATGAGGTACTCAATAGCAAACAAGGGAAAATTTGGAGACAAAACTTGACAAAATCTCAAGAGTAAATGAACACTTTGAGGGAAAAATGAGGTGATGAGTACTGAGCATGTAGGGCAAATTTGGGGCCTAAATCCAAGCTAATCTCTAGGGGAGAGCATGAACATACTGAGGTAACATGAGGGAATCAGTTTTGAGCAGATGGGGAAACTTTAGGGTAAAAATTTTATGGAATAATTTGTGGAGCAAACATTTTGAAGTAAAAATTAGGTACACATGGAAAATTTTGGGGGTAAATCTTGACAAAAGCTCCATGGTAAAAAGTAAATTTTACTTAAAGGAAAAATGAGGGAATCAGTAGTGGACAGGTAGGGGAATTTTGGGGGGCAAAACCTGAAATAATCTAAGGGTTGAGAAATAATATTTTTGGGTAAAAACAAGGCAATAAATTGTGGACAGGTAAGGAAGATTTTCCGGGTAAAACTTGAGATTATCTCAAGGGAGAGTGTGAACACTGACAAACTGAAGCAATCACTGGGAGTATGCAAGGAAATTTTGGGGGTGAAACGTGGGAAGATCTGTAGGGCAGAGAATGAACATATTGAGGTAGAAATTAGGTGATCAGAAGTCAACATTAGGTAGAATTTGGGAGGAAAACTGGACGGGGAGTGTCCCCCCTCCGGACCCCTTTCTCTGGAGGGGGCCCTGCCCACCCGGGACCCCCTCCTGAGGACGGCGCCCCCCCTGACCCCCAGCCCCGACGCCGCCGGGGATCCCCCACTGCGATGGGGGCAAAGCCGGAGTGCCGGCGGCTCTTGAGAACCGCACTGGGGGACCCGGCGAGCGGGCCCGGCCCCGGGTGGGGCTCCGGGGACAGCGGGGGGCGCCGGGCTCCGGCCCGCCGGGCTTTATTCTGCGGCGCCCCGAGCCCCGCGGCTGCGGGGGAAAAAGGGATGGGGGACAGGGAGGGGTGAGGGGGGGCATGGAAAGGGGTTGGGGGGGTTTGGGGGAGAAGGAGGAGGAAAGGGAAAGGCCGGGTGGGGAGAGGGATGATGGGCAGAGGAGGGGTACAAGGGCAAGAGAGGGGAGGCGGGCTGGGGAGAGGGTAGGAGAGAGCCGAAAGGACGAGGGGCGGTCCGGGATGTGCAGGGGAACAGGGAGAGAGGCCAGGGGAGGCTGGGGAGAGAGGAGAGGGCGGGGGGCTGGGAGGGAGAGGGGGAATGGGGGGAGAGAGAAAGAAGCTGGAGAGGTAGAAAAGAGGGGATAAGGGGGGGAAGAAGGGGGAGGATAAGGGCAGGATAAAGAGGGCGAAGAAAGGACGAGAGGAGGCTCCCCTGAGCCACGCCGGGAGAGCTCGGCCGAGCGCCAACCCCTCCTCCTCCGAGAGGGCAAATACCGCCGGTGCCGCTTTCCGGGCATTAAATCGCCCCGGGCCCGCCCCGGAGCCCCGGGCCGGGGCGGGACCATCGCTCCCGGCCCCGCCGCTCTCAGCCGGGCCGGGCCGGGGCTGCGGGCGGCGCCGGGAGCGGGCCCGCGGCTCCGCGTCCCGCCGCTGTCTCCGGGGCCCCGCGCGGTGCCGCCGCTCCCCCGCCGGGCGGGCTGCGCGTCCCGGCCCCGCAGCGCTGAGGCGGGCCCGGGGCCGCTCCGGACCGGGCCGGGCCTGGGCAGCCCCCGGGATCGCGGGCCGGGCTCCGCTCCGAGCCCCGGACCCCTCCCGGTGCCCGCGCCGAGCCCCGAGCGCGGCCCCGGGGCTCCGCCGCCGCTGCGGAGCTCTCGGTGCGGCCGGGGCAGCCCGGCTCGGGCCGTGCCTAAGGCAGGGCTCGGGGACACGGACACGGACTCGCCCTGGCCGAAAGAGCCCGCCCGGAGCACCAACACGCGGCCTCTGTCAAGCCCAGCAGAACGCTGCGCTTCCGCTTCTTTGCTGAGCCCAAACTCTGGCTGACTGACCCGATTCAAGACCTCCCGAACACAGGACATGGTCTCTGCTTCAGGCCTCTAAAATGTAGAATTTGGTCTCTCTGAGATCCCAAATGCTGTCTGAGGCACCCTGGTTTCAAACCCCCCATGTCTATTTCTGTACTTGGTCAAATGAGCCCAGTTTTGAGCCCAAATACAGCACTGGGTGTCCCTCTGAGCCCCAAAACTGCTCCAGTCCATCATCTTCAGAGGCTCCAGGAGTGCCCCGGGCCATGGGCAGACACAGCTGGGCACCACCAGCAGCTCCCTCACCCCCCGCCCCCGTGGGATGGGGAAGAGACCAGAGACAAAAATCCAGCTCAGGGGGTGAGATCAGAACAGTTTAATAACAGAAACCAAGACAAATACAATATTTTAATATTGCTGACAGTGATAGCAGTGATAACTGTGGATAACAGTGATAGCAACAAGAGCAGTGACAACAATGACAATAAAAAGAAGCCATTCCACACCCCATCTTTAACATTTTAAATCCAAAATGTAATCCAGAGCACCACAAACTCCCTGTGTGGGGGATTTCCACATTCCTGTTATTTTCTCTGTGGTCCATCCTGGGGATTTATGGACTAAGGAAGGCACTGGCTGCTCCTCTGGGTAAGGGAAAGGCTCCTGTGCTATTCCCAAAAACAGAACACCTGGAATTAGTGCCATGGGAGCCCAGTCTGGTCCTTCCAGTCACTAGGGGTCACCCAGAGGGTCTTTACCTGTATAAAGTGAAAATGACATCCTGGTCCAGTGCATTCCCAGCAGGATTGGACACTCCTGGCCACAGTGACCAGTCCATGAAACTTGGACCAGTGGCAATCCAAAGACAATTTCAAGTTGGAGACTTAAAATCAGAAACTCCAATTCTTTTCAGCACCTCTTGCTTAAATGTTTCGCTGCTGGAAGAGGTCAATTCGTATTTTTCCTGACCAGATTGCCAAAGTGAGAAAAAAACAATCAGCATTTCCTGGATGCCTCCATCAATTCCACTTCCACTCCAGCCATCTGCAGCCAGTGGCTGATGGGCAGGAGCCTGCCTAGAACAGGCTCAAGGGGTGGTATTAATTCCATTATTCCCAAGGTTTGAATGATTGTGGCATCATCCCATGTCCCTGAGTGTGCCAGAATCCCCAGAGCTCCAGGAGCTGCAGCCAGCTGCAGGCAGGTGTTTTTCTTTCTCAGCTTTTGGGAGTGTGGGTGAAGGTTCCCTTCCCTGTCCAGCTCTGGGAGTTGTCCCTGCCACAGACCCCACAGGGATCTTGGGCCCTGTTGGAGCCAATTCATGTCATGGCCCACATCCTACAGGAAAACAAGAAAGTGCCCAGTCGGCCCCAGTTCCAGGCAGGAATGTCTCAAACAGCACTGTGGGGTGTTCCTCCTGCTCTGGAAGGGAAGCTGGGATGAGCCCAGTTCCCAGGGCCTGTGCAGAGGCTCCCTGTGGAACAGCACTTCAGTTTTTTTGTCAAGGGCTTTTCCTGATGCCCTGAGGCACAGGATGATCCATACATTTGTCCCTCCCTTATTTCCCACACACTCACAGACTGAGGTCCTGCTCTTTTTGCCCTCCCTCAGGGGCTGCAATTGCCAGTGGGATTTTCCCACTTTTCAGCAGCCCAGGAATCATTCTCCAATGTCTCCAGGAAATTTCCAGAATGGACCCATTCCCAAGTACAGAACTCAGGAGAAGGGAAGAACAAAGGTTTTAGCACTTACCATCTTTAATTTTCCTTTCCCACAACAACTTGCTCTGGCTCTTTCCATCTCAGAAGGTTCCTTGTCTTTGTTTCAGCCTCAGAAGATTCTGTGAGGAGATTTCACACCCACAATTCAAGATCCCAAACCCACAGGGTTGCCCGTGAAGGCAGAGCAGTGTTGGCTGCTGCAGTGAATTTCCTCCATGTGCACAACTTAAAAACCATTACACCACTTCATAATTACCTTGAGCTGGTGCTGTAACAATGAAAAACTGATTTTCCATGTTCAGAGGAAAGAGATTGTCCTGGTCAGGCTGTGAGACCTTAAACTGCACATTGATCTGGGGGCTGTGACTGGGATTCCAGCAGAGATTGAGCCTTGTGTGTGTGCAAAGCCAGCGTGGGACTGGGCAGGATTTCACCACGGGAAGCTCTTGCTTTAATCCTTGGCAGCTTTTCTCAGAAATATTAAACAAAGAGGGAGGCCTTGTCCTTAATCCAATTACCACAGGGAAGCATATTACTGTTTCTTGTTTACCAGCTACAAACAAAGCTGAGAGCAGCACAGAAAAGGTTGGGAGCTACTGCTTCATCACACGGTGACAGCAACAGAGAGAAAACACAAAATCTGTATACAAAATCAAAGACAAAATTAATTATTCCTCCTGCTTTTAGTGGGACCAGAGCTAATTCTGCCCTGGAATGACAAAGAATCTCTCCCTCAGACCCCCAGAGACCCCTCAAAAAGCCAAAGTGCAGCAGGGAAGGGAGGAAGGAAAGGCACCTCTGCCTCACCTGCTGGGAACAGCACAGGTCCTGCTGCTGCTGGGGACTGGGAATGTGTCCAGAGCCAAAAGCTCCTTCCCAGGCTGGAGGGGCTTTCCTAAAGCACCACCTCTGGGGTTCACATCCTGCTGGCTTTCCACTCCATTGGGAAAGTAAGGATTTCATCCAGAGCCTGGATAAAGAGGAAACAAGAAAGCCCAGCCCATGGACGGGACAGATGAGCCAAGGGGGGCCACAGAAGCCGCTGTCTCCATCCTCCTCTTCCTCCTCGGCAGGGTTGGCTTCCTCATCCTGCAGAGCCAGCACAGGGACAGTCACCAGCCTGCTCATCCCCAGCCTGGGCAGCAGGGACGGGCTGGTGGCACCCTCTGGATGTCACCCCTCTGCCTGGTGCCAGCCCTGCTCCGCCCCCGTTCCCGTTCCCGGCTCGGAGCTCCTCTGAACGGGATGTGAAACCACAAACGTTTGCTCTGCTGCGCTTTGGGACAGCAGAGACTGCCCCGAGGCAGTGGCAAAGCTCCTGTTCCCACATCCTCTGCCTCCCACAGCCCTGCTGGGGCTGGACAGAGCAAAGAACTCCTCCGTTCCTGCTGGAAATTTCCCCCTGTGCCCATAAACCCCGAGAAATCGCGGCTGCTCCATGCCTGGAAGTGTCCAAGGCCAGGCTGGATGGGGCTTGGAGAAGCCTGGGCTGTGAATGGAATGGCAGGGGATGGAATGAAATGATCTTTAAAGTCCCTTCCCATTCAAACCATTTGGGGATTCCGTGATCTCTCCATGTATTTATTTTGCACCATTTCCTCTCAAATTTAAATTCTCAAATTTAGACCATTTGTTAAAGGAATCATTTAAAAATTATTCCAGGAGTTAAAAGGGGAGCGTCAAACATACAGGAATCATTCCTACACCCATCAAGTCATTATTAACTGGAAGCTATTCCCTCATCTCTGTGCTTGTTTTGCTTCCCTGGAAGACCTTATGATCCTAGAGTCTCTCAGAGAGATGTACTGGAAGGTTTGCTCTGTTGGAAAGCCAAGGAGGTTTACAGCACTTGTCCCTGTGCACCTTTATCCTTTAACCAGCTTTCCCTCCGCCGGCACACCGAGCCCTCCCCTGCTACTCGGATCCGTTCACCGGGACACCGACTTCCCCCCATTTCCCCCGGTCGCTCCTGCCCGTTCCCCGGCCCGCTCGGGGTTCTCCCCGTTCCCCGCTCACCTCCGAGCCCGGTGCCGCCGCTCCCGGTGCCCCCGGTCCGGCCCCGCTGCTCCCCGAGCTCCGCCACTGCCGCTCCCGGCTCCGCGCCTGCGCTCCCGCCGCAGCGGCCGCGGTTGCTGGCGGGAGCGGCCCCGGCCGCGGGCCCCGCGGCCTCGCACGGCCGGTCCCCGTGGTTGTCCCGCTCCAGCTCCATGTCCCGGTCCCCGTGGTTGTCCCGCTCCAGCTCCATGTCCCGGTCCCGGCGGAGCCGCGGGCAGCGCTCGGAGCTCTCGTGCTGCAGTACCGGGTGTGCCCACAAGGCGGCAGCACTGAGGGTGTAGCGGCCAGCGCGCATGCGCATCTGTTTTAGTGGTGCCAATAAATCCCAATTTCGGTCAATCCCAGATCCCGGATTTCGGGTGTTCCAGCGCGGGGAGGGAGAAAGAACTCCGCGTACGCAGAGCTGTTTCTAGGTTCTGCATACAGATACTCTTGTCTAACTTTTTCAAGCCCTTTATTGTTTCATTTATATACATAAAACCTTGTATTTTTATTTTCATGCCCTATGGATCCATATTCAGAATGCCTTACAATCTGAAATCCTGTCTATAACACAGCAGATTTATCTTGAAATAAATAGTGGTTTTGTATATATAAAAATGAGACTCTTTACACTTTCTACTGTTTAACACACAAATGAATTTTCAGGCATTTTGGGGCTATAACCTCCCTTTTTTGGAGAGATCCCACTTGTTCCCCCCCCCATTCCCCACTCACCAGCTCCCCCACCACAGACATTGGGGTGCCCCAAATGACACCATCACCTTTCAGACTCACACACTTCTCTTTTTCCTCACCCCCAAAGAAGGCACAAAACGAGTCCAAGTGCCCTCGCCAGCAGTTCAGTGCTTCCATAAGAAACATGTGGACATACCCCCACAAAACAGGGAAAAATCGAGGGCAGGACAGCTCCCCAAAGTGTTGTGAGTCTCCCCCCAGCTCCTGTCCCACAGTCTGGCAGCTGCCCCATGGCACAGGAAGTGTCCCCAAGGGTGGTTTCTCATCTTTCCCCTCTGGCTCCACCACGTTCCCACTCCACTTCAGGCAGAAGACTCCTCAGTTCCAGGAGATGTCTGATCCATTCCCTAGGCGGAATAGGTTAATTCAGAGCACCACCTCAAAGTGCTAGGGGAAAAAACTACATTCCACTGCCTCCATGGCACGGGGGTAGGTTTCAGTTTGCGAGGACTCTGGACTCCAGGACGGTTTGGATGGATGGAGACGACAGATCTCTGAAGGCTGCTCTTGGAATATCTGGTTTATTAGAGAGGGTGAAAGGCCCTGCTTGGAGTCACCAGATGTGACACGTGTCAGGCCCTAGGGGTGGGGGAAGGGAGAGGCAAGGGGTAGGGGGAGATAAGAGAGGATCCCAAGAGGGAGAGGGTGTTCCAGGAGAGGAGGAGTTGCAAGATCTGGCTCCTCAGGGACTCCTTATCAGGGGCTTCAAGGTGGGCTGGAACAAGCCTTAGGCCAGTGGGGTCACAGACTCCTGATGCTTCAGGGGAGGGTTCCAGATGTGGGATGAACCATACATTGGGAGTGAGATAGAATAGTCTTTTTGACCTTTGGACCTATCTGTGGTAAGGGCATTGTTCAACCAGAAGGGGGGATTGCTTTCATCCTGGCTATACTATTGTTTTCTAGTTGTTCAGTAACTAAGGTTTGGTATCTCAAAACTTGTTACCATCTCAATCTCTGTATTTTCTAAATCTTTTGCCAGGCAATCATATTTATAAGGCTTTCTTGTTTCATCTTCCGCAGTATTAGGTGAAGTGACGACATAGCTTGCACATCCTAGTGCAGACGAGAATCCCTGCACAAGGGTTTTCCAGCTACTCCAGGGGCTGGAACCAGCAAGAACATCCCCAGTGGTGTTCCTGTTATCCTTTCACCCCTACTCCTGGCATTATCCTGCCCAAAAAACACAGGCACCTATGGTCCCTATGCCTCCTTCACAGCTGTCACTTCGGCCTCCTCCCAGGCAGAAGTGTCCCGCAAAGAGGAACTCAGGAGCAAAACCAGGGGAAGTGAATCTCTCTATATGGAAAGACTCACCATTTTCACAGCAGAAACTTCCCTAACTCTTTATTCCCCAAAACTTGCAGCATCTGCCCTGTGCTGCTGAGCCCGAAGCCCAGCCAGGCACCAGCTGGGCAGAGCTGGATCAGTACCCTCAGCACCTGGGGTCAGCATTCCCAAGCAGGAGGTGCTGTCCCGGCTGGTGACACTGCAGACCCTGGGGGAAGGACAGGAGTGGCTGCAGAGGAGGAGGAGGAGGAGGAGGAGGAGGAGGCTGCAGAGAGCCCCTGAGTGGGGCAGAGGGAGGGACAGACACCTTCCTGCTCCCCACCCCCTGGTCTCCGTTTCTACTCTGTCATTTCTCACGTGCCTCAGTTCTCACTTCTCCTTTCCCTTTTGTCAATTCCTTCTGCCAGTTCATTTTCCCCACTCCGGTCCCTCCGCTCCGACTGGTGAGGGCCCAGCACCGGCTCGGCCATGGGCTGGGGGCTCTGGGGGGCCTTGCTCACCTGGGCACTGCTGGCATGGGTGACAGGGGCTGAGCAGTCCCAGGAACTTTTGTCCTCTTCGGGGTTTGGGGTGTGCAGCAAGACCTTGAAGCTCCCACGTCTGGAAGTTCTGCCGGGAGGGGGCTGGGATAACCTCAGGAATTTGGATATGGGCAGAGTCTTCAACCTGGGCTACTCACAGTGCAAGACCACAGAAGATGGATCTTACCTCATCCCAGACGAGATCTTCACTATCCCCCGCAAGCAGAGCAACCTGGACATCAACTCCGAGATCATCGAGTCCTGGAAGGATTACCAGAGCATCACCTCTGCCTCCATCAACCTGGAGCTGTCCCTCTTCTCCGCCATCAACGGCAAATTCTCCAGCGACTTCCACCGCACCAAGACCCAGCAGGTGAGAGACAAGGCTGTCACTACCCGGGTGCAAGTCAGGAATCTGGTTTACACTGCCAAGATCGACCCCGAGGCAGCCCTGGACAAGACCTTCAAGCAGCAGCTGCTGACCATCGCCAGCCACCTGGAGAACAACCAGACACAGATGGCCGATTTTCTGGCCGAGGTGCTGGTGCTCAACTATGGCACCCACACCATCACCTCCGTGGATGCAGGAGCCACCTTGGTGCAGGAGGACCAGATCAAGGCCACCTTCCTGAAGGACAGCTGGGCCACACGGAACAGTGTCACCGCCTCGGCCGGCGTGGCCTTCCACAACATCGTCAACGTGGGAACCAAGGAATCCCTGGAGGTCGGCTCAGGCTTCACCAAGGAGTACCTGGACAACCGCACCAGCTCCAGGGTGGAGAGCATCGGTGGGACCCCCTTTTACCCAGGCATCACCCTGAAGACGTGGCAGGAGAGGATTCAAAACCAGCTGGTGGCCCTGGACCGCTCGGGGCTGCCCCTGTATTTCTTCATCAAGCCCAGCACGGTGCCGGAGCTGCCGGTGCCCACGGTGCGGAGGGTGGCCCGGTGCGTGGAGCTCGC